GTGCTTCCTACGTTGTTTTTGCAAATGCGTGAGCATAGCAACAGTGTTTTGGTCAGCCTTGATGTGCGTGATGCATTTCTTACAGTGATGCAGCAGTGCCCAACATTGGTTCACACTACAGATGCTGGTGGTACAACACGAAGTTTCTCTTTAGGTCGAGTATTGCCCGGCCAAAGGGATGGAAGTTTACTCTGGTACAAGGACATCACTGACTTTCTCAAGTCCAAACTGGACATGGTTGAACATGAGCCCTATCCTTGCGTGTTGGCCACCAGAGACAGAGCATGTGCAGTGATGATTCACGTTGATGACATGTTGATTGTTGGACGCAAAGATTTTGTTCTTGGGAAGTTCATGGATACAATGCGCAGCAAGTATGACATCTCGATGGACGTGCTGGAGAAACCAGGTGATGAAGTGAGTTTTTTGAAAAGAAGTTTCCTTCTGCATGAGGACGGGCGTTTGACCATACAAGCCCATCACAAACACGTTTCTCAGATGTGGTTGTTGCTGGGTATCAACAGTAGAACTCAAAACAAGAAAAGCCCCGGTCATGCAGATATGGACCATATCGACACGAGCCCAGATTTGCCGGCCGATACGGCCACAACTTTTCGTACGTGCGTGGGCATCCTCATGTACTTGGCCAATGACATGCCGCACTGCCAGCATGTGATCAGGCACTTGTCGACTTACAATGCCAAGCCTACAGTCAAGAGCCTCATAGTGTTGAAGCACCTGGTTGCCTACTTAGCATGCCATGGAGACATTTGTATTTCGCTGAAGTGGATTGGACACAACAATGGAGTGTTCCACTCCTATCCTGACTTGGATGCCACCCACAACATTCTGGAGTTGTTCACCGACTCGGACTGGGCCAGTGACAGGGCTACACGTAGGTCCGTGTCATGTTGCACAGTGTTTTTCGGAGGGTGTCTTCTTTACAGTGCGTCCAGAACACAGCGAGTTGTGAGTTTGTCATCCGCTGAAGCGGAGGTCTATGCATGCAGTTCAGGGGCAGCGGATTCGCTACTTTTGGCAAGACTTTTGAGCTGGCTTAGCGGGAAAGAGACCAAGATCTACCTCTATACAGATAGCTCAGGTGCACGTGGCATTTTGCAGCGAAAGGGTGTCGGGCGACTCCGGCATTTGAGTTGCAGAATCTTGTGGCTTCAGAATCTCATTGGAGTGGGACTCATCAAGTTGTCTGCAGTTTCTGGAAACACTAATCCTGCAGACATAGGCACTAAGCGCCTGACAGCCAATCGTTTGCGTTCTTTGACGTCATTGCTTGGACTGTTCAACATGAGTACCAACACAGTGGAAGGTTCAGATGACCCTAGACGCATCTTCAGCAGGAGACAGAACGTGCGTACGTTGATCAGCGCCTTGGGCCTTCTGCAGTTACAAGGTTGCAGTGATGAAAACTTTGACAGCAGCAGCAGTTGGAGATTGGTTTCAACTTTAGTCCTTGGTTTTCTGATTTTGCTTCCTTTTGTGATGATGAAATTTACTTGCCGGCGCAGACCAGTTCCACAAGCAACTGCTGAACCTGCGCCTGAACCAGTGCCACTTTGGGAGGGAATCCATGAATAGGACATCCCAACCTTTGAAACTACGGCAGATGTTCCAGAGCCATTCCAACAGTGGTCACCAGAAGCTTTGATTTTCTTCATGCTGAACAGGTGCCAACGCAGGCATGACGATGCTCAGACAGCAGAGCGCCGAGTCCTATACTTGCAGAGGATTGCATTGCTACGTGACCTTTTGAGAGATCTACAGAATGCAACAACTGCTCAACGGCTGCAGGCCAGCCACTTGGTGATGACTATGACAGACATCAGTGAAGATGAAGCAAGTCCTTTACATGGTGCCAATGAGACCGAACGCAATGCAGCCATCAGACATTCAGCTGATGCACTTGAAAGAGAAGACAGCGATACAGAGACCGCCTCTCAGAGACTTCGACGTTACTTTGCAAGTGAGATGGAAGAAATTTCAGATCCAGAGGAATGGAATGCTCTACATTTCCCTGGGTCTCCAATGTCTGAGAGAGCTGAAGATACTTGAAGGGAATCCCAACGAAAGTTGATAGCTTGGTAGATCTTTTAGAGATTTTGGTGAAGTGAGCTGAACGCTTTCAAAGAAGCATGTGCAAGCAGCGGCACAGCAATACGCTGTCCCGGCGCCCAATCAGCAAACCACCTTTTCCGAGCTTTTCTTTTGCATGTGACTTTGTAGTGGTGCCAAATGGTTTGACAACCATGTGGCAAGGCGGGGTGCAAGTCTTTTACGGCAAGTGACATACCTGTTTTCACATGCCATTCTTGCATCCATGTTTCAAGTAGCAACAGTAATTCATTCTATGTGATCTTGAGGCGCTTCCTTTCAAGGGAAAATAAACAGAAAGTCATAGGAAATAAAAGGCGCCTGAAAATAAAAACTGGCAGTCGCCGAGTGCCTTGGCACAGAAACTTGCATACAAACACGTGGCAAGACATTGACAAATGTTGACCAGGCAAAATTACAAGCACCTTATCTTCCTCTAGCATTGGGTCCCTACGAAAACGGCAGTCTCAAGTTGCGTCGTTGTGTTTTCAACAAACGCGCCATTTGATTCCCTTTGGTACAAAATCAAGAAGGGTTTTCAAAATCTTTCGCTACAGTCACGCCAACCTTTAAGGCTACGATATCAGCATGATGTGTTGCTAGATGTATGATGTTGCTTCACGTTTTTTCCGATTTTCACCGTTTCTGCGAATGCCTCAAGCTGAAGCGCCGAGTTGGGCACTCATCCGACATGCGACAGGTCGAAGAGCGAAACAAGTTTGTGGGACCAGTTCGAAAGATTGAAACATCTTCACCTTTAGGAAAAACCTTCAGGAAAACCTTCTGGAAGATTTTCAAGTGAATCTTCACAACAGCCTTCTAGAAACTTGAGATCCTTCAGGTTGACTTCGCTTAAGCTGTTTTCTCCCATGGAGAGGTCCTTTTCCACGGCCTCGCACTGCAGACTTGCCATGCTTCCCATAGTCCTTGCCTTTGCCCTTGTCTTTTCCCTTCGATTTGCCACCAACAGATTTCGAATGCTTTCCCTTGTTACTGCCCTTGAAGTCTCTGCCCTTCACTTTGCCTTTCTTGCCCTTGTCTTTTCCTTTGCCGCCCTTGACTCTGTCAACCTCCAGTGGGGCTGGTCCTCCATCATCAGTTCTCGAAGTTCCCAAGGCCATAGCTTCAGTCCATCGAATGCTGGCTTGATCATATTGAAGCACTGTCTCCCTCAGAGTGTCATAGCTTGCATCCTCCTTGAGCGTGACGTTGATGTGCATGCGTAGTTGGCCAGTTATGCACCTAAGCAAGATGGCAAACTTCATCTCAACAGCTAATGGTTGTGGCGAGATCTTGTCGTACTCTCTGAAGGCTTCTTCAAACTTCACGATTTGGGCTAGGAAGCACCCTTCATGTCGAATTCTTTCCAACTCATCAAAGCGTTGAGGATTCCAAGGCTTCTGTTCCTGGACGTGGGTTGGCACTGCAAGACCAATTGCTTTCGTGCCTCAAGCCATTGTTCTCAAAAGCCCCACGAAGAACAGTTAGAAGGCGTCCACGAAGTAACGAAGCAAGCAATCCATAGAGGAACATAGATCGCTTCTTCTCATCATCGCTCATCAGCCCAGGGTCTTGGTACACCGTGGTGTGGGTCTCGATGTGCTTGATCTCGGTCTCGTACTTGCTGTCCAGAGTGCACAAGTACTGGGTGACTGTCCACCACCATTCGCGCCACATTGCAACCTCTTGGTCGTAGTCCCTGGGCTCGAACACATTGGGCTTGGGCAACAGCTTGAACCAATCTGTACCCCTTGAGCTGCTACTTCCACCTTCAGCTTGAAGCCTCAACATCTCCACTGCACTTGCTGTCGCAGACGCAGCTTGGGCAGCTGTTTCTGCAGCTTGCATCATCCTCCTTGCTATTTCTGCTCCATCTAACGCTTGACCCGCTAAGCTTCCTTGAGGTGATCCTTGAGGGCTCCCATCAGGACTCAAATGTCCTGCGCTACCACCATCAGTCGCCATTGGGCTCCAGTTTCTCGCTCCTCAGGGATCTCAAAGACCTTGTCAATCTCAGGCCCCATCAAAGCTCCGCTGCCATGATTGGCAGCATGGCAAAAGCGGATCACCTGTTTTGGCTTGAACGGAAAAGCCTCAATGGGTCACGATTGGATATGCTATATCTGAATTTGCAGGGGTGTCTCTGCAGGACACTTGGGTTTCACCAACCTTGTATTTTCTCAACAACTATCACCAAGTTTGATGGTGTGCTATTTGAAGACAAACCCGTATGAGAAGAATTCAGAATAGGGATCTGGCTGTAAGTCAGAATAGGGATCTGGTTTGCAAATGGATGGTCATCTCCCCAAACATGGCTCTCCAAAAGTATTTGGAGCATTTTTTCAAGGTGCCCTTTTCTGACCCCTTTCATCGCCCTTTTGGAAAGGAAAAAAGGGCACCTGCAAAAAACTTGAACCAAAACAAAGAAAAGAAACAAAAGGCTACAATGCAAACAACACTTCAAAACATTTACCATCTCTAGAGCTCATGAAATGGCAGTGTCTGCTATATAAATTGCTGCCGCAAGGAAATTTGGATAGCCACTGTGGGAATGAGCGTTTTGAAAAATGCCTGAAAGGGGCCATTCTTTTGGTGTTTTGAATGTGTTTCTTTTTGCTGTTGTTCTTATCCTTTTTATTTTGGTAAGATACTCAATCTCTTCCAGAGCTCTCTTTGTCCATCTTCCAGAATCAGACTGATTTAAACATGTCGAGAGTGGTTTCCCCATGCTTTGTCAACTTTGTCTAGATTGAACTGCTTGGGAAACTTAGGCCACATTCGGCCACATCGAAGTCCAGTCACTCGAAACTGATTCAAACCAAGTCATCCCAAAGTGAGTCATCCCAAACATTCCCAAACCATCCAAAATCTTTCGACCTTTTCAAAAATTTTCAAAAGCTCTGTTCACTCGCGTTCGATGCATCAGAATCCCTTCTGGGCGTGGCTGATTCTGAGGCCACTGGAGATGCCTCCGACATTGTCCAGTCGACGTATGGGTATCGGTATGGGTACCAAATGGTACCAATTAAACCAGAGAGTTTATTATCTTTAGTAATCCAATGTAATCCATCTATGTGAATCAATAATAATAATAATATTGAGCCCTTCCCCATACTTTGACATCTGCAAATGTTCCAACATGTTCCAACCTTCTAACAAAGCTGGGTTTGAACTTTGCAAATGTCAAGGTAGATTTGGGATCGGTTCGTAGCGACTTTCAATCCGAAGTTTCTCAGCAAAGAGACCATCAGAACTGTTGAGAACTCTGAAGGTCAACGCACCCCACCTTTGTCGAAGGCTTGGCAGTTTTTTCAAACTTCGGCCGCAGCCTTTTGCCTGGAGAAAGTTGTTAGTTACATCCAAAAAAGGTGGAAAAATATGAGCAAATCAAAAGTTCACCAATCTCTACAATCGAAGACAACCCCCAATCTCTGCCAAAACTTGGATTGAAATGCTCAAATGTTCAACCAAGCAAGTACATTTTGATGGGCATTTTGGATGCGCCTGGATGTGGCCCTTTGGAATACAATTGTCGGATCCTCTTCACGGCTAGGGCCATTCCCTGCAGCAATGGGCGGAAGCGTCATGAGGAAATCCGGATCAAAGTGTCGGGGATCCAAACCAAAGCACGGGTGAAACATGCTGTAACATAAGTATCAACATAATTCAACATATCATAAGTGGAACATGGTGAAACTCTGATTACTTGGAGCCATGATCTTCCTCAAAACTGACAGTCGGATTGGCACATTGGATTCCCATTGCATTGGTACGAATTGGTACGAAGGTGCTCAGGGTGGTTCGGAACCCGAGTCTGCATGGACAACGGTTGGACACTGGGTGTACTGGGTTGCCTCGTCGTATGTTGGTCCAACCGTTTGCCACGCGGCTGCACTTGAGTCTTTGGTGCACCACCGCAGTGTCTCCAACTGGCCATCGACTGACCAGCGGGGGAATCGAAGGGTGGTTTGAGATTCCACGCCTGACCCCAACCCCACCGAAACCGTGCCTCAAAAATAGACCATGGTTCAAAGCTCGTGATCTTTAAGTCAAAAGCACATTTAATCAAGTCGTAAGAGCACGTGCAAGCCCAATGAAAAATCAGCAAGAACGAGCCATGCGGGTCTCCCCCACATGCAACCCATCTGACAACGTGGAAACTCCATACCCCATCCCTGTCGCACTCGTTGAATCGCAGGTTCCGGTGTCCACTCGCAGTGCTCGGTGGAGCTTCGGGTGGCCCTTGAGACTGGTCGACCCGAACTCCTCCGGTTTTCAGATGAAAAACAATGACCATTTAGTGATATTGCAAACTGGTTGGGCTGCAGAGTCATGATTTCATCTTTAGTTTGAAAGTGCTTTCCATGGCAAGTGTTTTATTGAAAATAATACAATCCATGTAAAAACTGAGAAAGAACGAAAGAAAAAAAACATCTTCAAAAATCAAACTCAGACGTTCCAACATCAATCGCATGAGTAGGTGCAAAACCTCGAGACCATCACCTGAGGCATCTGGACTGAGCGCCTGGCGCTTCAAGGGACAGCGGTCAATCCTTTTGCCAATCTTACGATCACAAAAATCATATCAATGAATGTATGATAACATATGTGCACCATATCCAAAATGATCCAAAATGTATCATGGCACAAACATACCAAATATGTTGAAACATGTTGAAATATCCCAAGTTTTTGGTGCCAATAGTTCCGATCACCACAGCAACGGTGTGCACACAGCTCTGCGCCTCCGTTCGGCCACCAACCCCGGCGCTGCCAAGGGGGTGCTGCGCGGCAACAGGACCCACCAGTCATTGGACCTCGACGTCACGAAACTGTCACGAAACTGTCACGAAACTCAGGGCCTATCATGGCCTACCATAGCCAAGCCTACCAGGCTTTGATCATCCTGTCACTTTGATAGTTTTAATATCTTTTAATAGCTCTAATTCTCTCCACAAAGTTCAACCCATTTCCCGATCGCTGTAACTGAACAATACATCATCATCGGACATCATCAGACTTCATCAGACTTCAATATTGTCAATCTCAGATCCTTCTGACTGCTGAAATACATAGACTTCGAGACTTCGGGACTTCACCACGACTTTTACGCAGTGACACACCGTTTGGTGAGCTAAGCAGACGTTTGCTGCTAGGTTTGCACGCTTCGACGGGCCCACTCGGATGACATCTTTGACATCTTTGACATCTTTGATCACTTCCGCAACGCTCATAGGTTTTTGCAATTTCTATCCGACGTTCACTATGTTTCATTTTGTGTCATTATGTTTCATTGTGTCAAATGTGTCATTGTCTTCATCCGATTCTTCCGGGCAATTTGCCACCTACAACACCCTGTGCTGCCGAAGATTTCATCGACGCAGCGAGTGACGCGCGAGTCCAAAAAGGCTTTTGCAGTGACCTTGAGAATGGCAAAATTGGCAAAATCCGAATGAGTCCGACATGCAGCACCATGCCTCATCTCGCATTCAAATATCATTTAGGATCAAGGTCAACGTTCTTTCGGCCATTCTCAAGCGCTAGTCTGCAACATCCTCGAAGCAAATGCTCAATCTAAAATCTGCTGGTGTCAAGGCATGTTCAACGGCATCGCGTTGCAAGCCATCGACACATGCCTTTGGCAAGTCCAGTACCAAGATTTTCCTGCGTCAGGGTGGTCATCGTGAGGGTTTCCTGTGTGAAGTTCTTTCTATGAACGATATCCAAAATGAGCATGGAACCTTTGCTCAACTACAACATCTACAACATCTACAACATCTTTCCTGGCATTCCATCCCTGAATGGTTGCCATATGTTGCCATCTAAACTTTCTAAACATTCTACCAATTTCAATCAAAAAAAACAACCGATGCCGGGCCTTTGATCCTCGGTGCGACGATGCAGAAAGGCGTGATGCCACCAGGCTTTGAAACGCAGCCGTCGCCGTCGCAGCCATCCCTTCTGCACCGTCAAAACGATCATGCCGTCCGGCTGATCCCACAGGGGCCTCACTGAACCGAAGCATGTGACGCGTGACTGCGGTGCCCTGATGGTGCCTTGATGGTGCCCTGGGTGACTGTGGAAATGACTGTGGAAATGCACAGAAAATGACAGAGCTTCAGGTGAAATGAATGAAATGTGAGTAAAATGCCTTGATATTCTTATCAAAGTTTCGTAGAGAAACGGCGAGTTACTCTTGAACGGCCTTTTTCCCTCTGAACCACCTCCTCTTTGACCCCACTTCTCTTAGATAAAGTCTCAGCTAACCCTTCTCGGAGAGACCTCTCACGTCAGCTCAATCTTTTCTGCGCTACCTCTTGTGATTGCAAACTCTTCGCCATTCCTACAAGACTATTGAAATTGTTTCTGAGGGACATGTTTCAAAGACCCTTTCCTAATCATTGGCATCATTGGCGATTCGGAATTCAGTTTCTGGCTGAATTCCATGATTTGCTTCCCAAGAAGCCCCTCAAAACGCACTTCCTGGTCGCTGCTTTGCAGGTGGCGACTGAACTTGTGCTTCACCTCGAGCCTTTCGCTGTTTCGGCTCATGAATGCCACCTGCCCAAAGCAAAACCAGATTGGAAATGGAAATTAGGGCAGGAAGTCTGTCTCAGTCTGTCTCGCAGTCAAATAAGAAGCAAAAGCAAATAGAGCATTCTTTCACCCAACTCCAGGGTATTGAATGTTCATTCTTGAGTTCCAAGCTTCCAAAATCTTCTCCGAACTCACACCGCCTGAAGCGTAAACGGCTCTTTCTCGTTGGCTGCCAAATGTCTCAACAGCACCGCACAGGGTCGGTACTGCAGGGAGCCCGGTGCTATTGGATCGCTCAGCAACTGCACTGTGCCCTCCAACCAAATCTCGAACCTTGGGCCATCGAGGCCATCGACCGGACCAACAAACGGACGGACCAACAGATGTTGGAAAAAATTCGATACACCGGAAGTTCAGCCAGGCTGGTCCCATTCCTTTCCATTCCTTTTCCTCCTAAAGTGATGATGCCATCTGCAACCCTGAGCTCACAGGCAAAGACTTTTGCCCAAGTGGCATAGCGATCCACCTGATCTGCGAGGGAATGGTGACACCCGCGCGGGTGCCTCCACGGATATGTCCAAACCAATGCAGGGCATCCCTGGCTGACAGCACCGCGCCAGCGTAGAGCAGCAATGCTGAGATCCTAAGGCCGTGAGCTTGGCTGCCCACCAAAATTCACCAAAGTCACAAGGCCGAAATGAATAGAATGATTATTGAATAGGTCACAACTATTCACAACTTTAGTTTCACCTGTTTTTGCTCATTTCTTCAAAAGAAGCTCCACACGAAAGTGGTGAAAGTAATGTTCAAAAATAGAAAATCCATCTGCCCAAGGCACATAGTCCCGGACCGGCCCTTACCAGCCTGCTGCCCACAAAGAGTGCTCGTTGGTGCTCATTGCACAACAGCTTTTCGATTGTAAAGTTTAGATTTCACATTATTTCACAGGCGGAATCCGGCCTTGCAGTGGATGACCGCCACATTGCGCTCGTCTGCTTTCAACCATGCCTGACAGAGGGCGCCAATGATGCTTCCGTGAAACACTGAGAAGAGTTCTTCCACAAATGAGGATGTTTCAACAACCCCTGTGCACCGTGACATCATATGACATCATGAGTAATGATGCAATGAGTCTCAATGAGTCTCATTGAGTCTCATTGAGTCTCATTGAGTGTCATGGGCACACAATCAAGATTCAAAAGTGATCAAAATGCACCCAGCCTCAACATCCCGACAAAATGCCAAGATGTCTGCGAAGTCCGGCGGGCAATGATCGACGCATGGGAAGCACACCGTCTCTTCGAAGCCATTCTCTCGGAAGCTGCGCTCGGCGCACAAGTTGTAGACCCGAAAGCTGCCACGGTGGGCCCAGTGGAGGAAGCGCCGAACCTGGAGAATCTCAGCAGAAAATCTGCGGAGAATCCGAGATGTTGAAACAACACCGAAGCAACGAGAAGCAACGTGAAGCAATTCTCCCATTTTTCCATCATGTTTCCATCCATTCCCGTAAAGCTCGCCTCCTTCTGCGGATTCCGGAAGCAAGCACCAGATCCTCTGCCAGGGAAACCCATAGCAATGATCTTCGAAGTCACCTTGGAAGTTCTGAAAAAAAATAGAAAAACATCAGAAAGTCGTGTGAACTGGTTCCACCATGTTCCACCATGTTCCACCATGTTCCACCTGAGTCTTTGCTCGTGGAATGTAACAATCTGAGCATCTCCACATCTCTCCACCAAGTCGCATAGGCCAGATCCAAGTCGAAACCATCTGACACATAGCGACAACGGCTGCGAGCAACCTGCCAGTACGGACGAAGCTCGGCAAAGAAAAAAGTAGGTGACAATTTGCAATCAAAATGAGCCAGAATCATGCAGATGTTTTTCTATGTGCAGATTGTGCAGATTTTCCTGACCAAAGGATCTGCCATGTTTTGCATCTTCAAATCGAATCGATCTCGCCTTGCGTCGCATCCAGCCGCGCAGCCCGGTACTCCAAACACCCAGGCGCTCCTGCGACGCCAGGGCGACGCCATGATGATTTTCTGAAGCAACATCTCTTCCGCACGGGTTGATGTTGGAAGACATGAAAGACATGAAAGACATGAAAGACATGAAAGTGATTCATCACCCCAGAGACAAAAAGCATCACAAAGATAAACATAATGTGAAATGAATGTGAACAAAATCGACAAAAAGTATCAAAAAGTTACAGCACACTGACATGATTTCGCTCCTGGGAGCCACGTTTCCGGGCACTGCCGAGCCAGTTCTCCTGAAGGAGATCCTGCCGGGGGCATTGGGGTGACATTCGGATGACATTCACATGGCATCAGTCTCAAACACTGAAACATTCAATGTATCATCAGTATAATATATATATATATCATATTATATATATATATCAGTATATATATATATATCAGTATCATGGGCTCAAATTTGAAGGAGTTGGCTGACGCTGCTTGTCGTGGCCAAACCCTACATCAGACAAAGCCTACAATCCAGAAAGGTTCAAAGCAGCAAATCAAAAAGAGCGAGAGAGAGAGAGAGAGAGAACTGAGAGAGCCGGAAAAAAACGTTTGCAAATGGCCAGATCTCATGAGATCTCCATTGGTCAATCTGAATGTGATCTCCTCTTCATTGCCGTCAATCTCCGGCTTTGGCCAATGGTCTGTCCCACCAAACAGTGCAGAAAGCGTCAAGGATTCAGAGCTTCGACGGCTGTTGGCCGCACACATGGAGCGTTTGTCTGTTTGCATGGTGCGCCTTGGCCAAAAAGGGGCAGCCAGATCCAACCAGATCCAACCAGATTTCACACAGATCCAACCAATGTCAGGTCCTTACAGACATCATCAGACATCCTGCATACAGACGCTTCTGAAGCTTGCCATGTCGCTGGGTAAGTGGCGAAGGATGCTCCCAAACGCTGTGAATCACTTCTCCCTTTGACTCGTCCTCGCCTAACTGCAGAGATCTGGCAGATCTGGCAGATTTCACAAGCACAACAGCCGCAACAGCCGCATCCGGTCCTTCGGGGGCCAACCCTTTGTCCACATAGCTCTCTGTGCAAGAACCTCAGCGGCAAACGGCAAACAGGTCATGTCACGAAAAACAGCAACAACGCTTTAACCTCCTGCGTTTCGTCATAAAGGTGACATGTTCTTCTCAAATGTGGATGGTATTGGATGATTGCCATGGTCACCATGGTCATCGCCATGTCTGTAGACTTCACGTCATTGAAATCAAGCCTGCCAGCTACAGAACCAGCAACGGATCGTTGCGAATCGTGCCAAGGGACACCAATGTGGGCCACATTGCATGGCGCTTCCGAGTTCACCAGACTGTCCTTGGCAGGTGGCCGATTCAAATGTCTTCAATCCGGGGAATTCTGGAAACCGGAGATAACCGGAGTTTTTCTTGTGAGAACCCTCTTGGTCCCCCTGTTATATCTGTTATCACAAGAAATCTTGCTGAAATGGTGCGAACGTCCACAGGTGCTTCCAAGATTCTGGATTGGTCCAAGCCGGTGCCGTCCAAGAACCAAAGTGTTCCATGACATCGGCACGTTGAAAAAAATCTCTGCTTTGTTTGGCCTTTCGGACTGGATAAATCAAAGATTGAAACAAAAAGCCTTCTGGAAGCCTGTGGAGTTGGTGGTACCGGAACAGGTCACTTGAAATCTCTGGTGTCGTGAAGTGCGTGGCTGGATTAAACAGCTTGAAGCATCGCCGCAAACAAATCGGCGATCCTTTGAGGCTGTGTTTTCCGTGATGTTTTTCTTTTGTGTTTTCCATGAGAGGTTTTGCTTTACTCTCAGGCTTTGGACAATATCAGCTTCAGCTGTGTTGGCCAGCTGCAGCGGAACGAGAGAATTGGACGAAAGGTCAAAGGCGATCAATTCGTGCAAAAATTGTGCAACATGCAGCCATCCAATCTTCCACCTTCAAACACCTTCCCGTTCGATGGCATTTGCATGCATTTGCACTGTCATGGAGTATGAGTATCGAAGCATCAACAATTGCCTGTTACATCTATCACTACCGTATCTACTCACTTTGAAAATTGGTGACTTCTGGGGTCCTGACTGAGGCATTCCGCCTGAGAAGACAGATCCACCCCTGGTATCCCAATACCAACTTCAATGCTGGTTGCTTGAGAACACCTTAGCAGCATCATGTAGGATCATGTTGACATTGTTTCGCATCATGTTTTCATTTGTGTTCCATCATCTCTTGGTGTATCCCGACGTGCAGTTCACCTGGCTATTGAAATTCTGCAAGCCTCCAGGAACTGTTGGGGGCGTTTCTGTGTGCCTGGCATCAATGATAGACCTAAGAAAAACCAAAGCACCTGATGTCTGAGCACTGTCAAGACTACTCTCCCGCAGTTTACGCACGACTAGTCAAGACTAGTTGCACCACACGCTTTGATCCAAGACTTGAACCGCACCTGTCAAACCAGCTTCGCAGCTCAAATGGCGTCTCGGCGTCTCTTTGGAATGTGCTTCGGTGCTTCGGTGCTACATCTTTCAAGTCTTTCAAGGATGCAAAAACATCAAAAAACAAAGAACTCAACGGACAATCTGATGAACTCTGGGTAGAAAATAAACGGAGAGGCTAGGCTTGTATTAGTTTGTTTGGGTTTGTATCAGCTGTCTCTCGGTCTTGAACCAATAGACTTGACAGCTTGCAAACGTCCCAAGCGACAAAATCCGCAATGTAGTGTGTACACCTTTCAGATGAATACAAGGAGAAGATCCAACGAGTGCAGACAGGAACACATATAAACTTGAATCCAGCAGAACCCACTCCCATTCGAGGTCTCTCCGGCAAGACTTTTCATTGTGGTTTTGACCTTCATAGTTTGAGTTCATCATCCTGTGTCAGTATCTTCTCACTGAATCAGTTTCTATATTCATATCCGTCATATCCGTCATATCCATCATATCCATCATATCCATCATATCCATCATACCCCATCCAACACTTCAATGGATCTGGATATGGAAACGGGTGGATATAGGAACTGGTTGTGAATATCCATGGTTCATCCATTGTCTCAGTTCATCCATGGTCATGGTCGTTTTTTCTCGGCCTTCTGTTTAGCGCGGCTTGCGCCGACCTTTGACCACCGAGGTGAAACCGTCCTCATCCACAATGGGCTCAGGGACATCACGTGGCTTGGAATATCCTTCGTTCGGCCTTGGAAACAAAAAAAACATGGGCTATGAGTTGGTAATATTGATATCATGATATATATACGTATATATATATATATAAATGTATGATGGTTTCCTGAAATGGGGGTACCTCAAAAAATGGATGATTTATAAAGGAAAATCCTATTGAAGTGGATGATTTAGGTGTACCGCTATTTCAGGAAAGCTCCATGTATATATATATACTTATATACATGTATATTTATATATATCATTGTATCATCTTTACACTATCATTGGATTTACTATCATGGTTTCCCTCTCCGCTGCATGTTCCACCAAGGACCAAGGACCCTGCGTTGGCACCTGCGTTGGCTGAGCCATGTGAGCCATGTGAGCCGCCATGGACGAGACGTTCGCATCCTGCAGGGGAACAGTCGAACGAAATGGATCTCGGAGATCGAAACAAATAGAACAATAGATTACCTCGAATCAATGATTACCAATGAAACAATAGAACCAAATGAATCAATGGAACCAAATAGAACAGATCGAAATAGATCGAACAGCTTCATTGATTCAACTCTCGTGATCTCTCCGCTCGAACTCGCTCTGACAAGGTTCAGAAGCTTCGGACGGTTCGGACCAAAATCATCATGGGACTTTGATAGGATTTAAATTTATTAAACGGATTTAATAAGTTGTAATAGGCTCTTGACCCTGTCTTAGCTCTTGACGTCATTGGTACAGACGCGGAATTCTGCACCTGAGCTTCGCAGGAAGGGTCTCCATCTCCATCGCTCTCCTGTGCGAGTCCAGTCCAACGGATCAACGGATCTTTTCACGACAAGAAAACATCAAAAGACTCATTTCAAAGGAACTGCGAGACAGTTAGTTTTGTGACCGAATTGAAGGATCTTGATGAAAGAGCATGAAAGAGCAAGGGAAATCTAACGGCCATTGAAATCTCCAAACGAATTGCTTACTGATCTTACTGTACTGTCGACAATTGTGGGCACCAATGAGTCTAAAGGACCTTCTGTCGTACTTCCCTCAAACCTTAAATCCTCTGGTGAAATTGACAAGGGCATGTGTGTGTGTTGATTCTAATAGATTCTCACCTGTGAAATCTGGGAAGCTTCATAGACAGTGTCCTCGTCGATGTCCATGCCATCGAGCTTGTCCAGCAGCTCATCTTCCTCCGTGGCATACTCTATCCCTGGCAGTCGGAAGTGTAGCAATATGTAGCATATCGTAACAGGTAGGTTTCAAACACTTCAAACAAACTAAGGAGCTGTGGATACCAGTGGATCATCTCCAAAAAGGTTCCCAACTTCGCTAAGCGTGGATCGAAACAAACTGGGAGGTTTGGAGCAACTTTGGTTGAAATGATGTAAGTTAAGTTCAGACTTTGATCACATCAATTGAATTAAACATCCTTAATCATTAATTCATTAATATCATGAATTAACCAGTGATACTTTATGAATCTTTATGATATCTACGGTACTTCGGGAGATTTACGGTTTAAGATCTCAGCCATCTGCAGATCTCATCTGGGATCCCAGGCGTTCAGATCCCTGGCTCTTCAAGAGGTCCGGCTGAGGAGCAGAGTCGCAGACCTGAAGAACCTGATTCGCGAAGCTCAGATCGCCCTGCTGGCAGCTGTTGAAGAGCCGCAAACCTCAGAGATCTCTGAAGATCGAAGAGATCTGCCAAAGCTGCCCCTTCCTCTTCCATATCTCAGTTCCCTGTATGTTCAAATCTGGAAATATGTTTACACATGTGTATACAGTACATCATATATGACACATATCTTATACAGTATATTCCAGCTATCTTTTCAAGTTGTGGCCGGGAAACAGAGCGTCGCTACCTCCATGGGTGAACCATCATCCGTTTCGGTACTGAACAACTCGTCCAGGCGAAGGTACAGAAAGTATGCCAGGTCCTGGTCGGATATCTCGGATAGCCCATGGGTTGGAGGCAAGGACATTAAGGACCTTACAGAAGGACCTTATGAGGACCTTATGATATCAAGAATGTAGGGACTTGTTGAAATTTGAGTAGCTAAATCTACCAAAATGCATGAAAGTTAAGAAAGGGAACTCTGCACAAAGAAACAAGCTGGCAGGCTGGCATCCAATTTCGTGACAGCATGTTTTCATGCTGCACCGGGTAACATCGGCCTCGCAGTCTCCAGGATTCTCCCAGCTCGGAGGTCTTTTTTTCCTGTCAGACATTCGCCGATCTGCCGATTTGCTGCCGTACAGCGAAGCCCAGCGAAGTCCAGCGAAGTCCAGCGAAGCTCCTGGAGGCTGCACTGAGATACTCGATCACCTCCGCCTGGGCTGTTTCTGCGTGCAGAGGCACATAATTGCACATAATTTCACAGATTCATAAGATCACGCTCACATTTGTCACGTCGCACCATCAATGCCATTGTCTTGCTGCACCTGCAATTGTCGTCCTTTCGCAATGGAATCTCGACCACCCCAACCTACACAGCTGAACTCTTGGAGGTGCTCAAGAGTCGACCAAAGAGACGTGAATCAGTGAAATGCAAAGATGCGAACTATGATTCTTTGGGCAATGATAACTTTCGGATATCTATCAATCTATCAGTTCCCATGGGTCATTTGACGAGTTCAATGTTCTGATGTTCGCCACTTGTCTAACGTCACCTCTTGAATCTACCGCCGAACATCACAGAAATTGTACTGGCAGGGTGAACAGCAGTCTACAACCACTTGAAAAAATCATCAAAACAGTGTGAACCTTGTTCTGTTGCAAGGGCCAAGGTGGTCCACCGCTGAAAGATGCGTTGAATCGCCTGTGCCAAACGAGAAAAAAAACCGGCCAATCCAGGCACTCCCAAGTTCGCAAATGATGTTGACCTTAACATGCCCCAACGATAACTGCCCCAAAATTTGCAAATGCATGGAGGGTTTGATATCATTGCACATTCACATCATTTAACGTCTACCCGTCTGTTGCTGCATGTATCCAAGATGCATTACACTATATATACATTCGTGAATGCAGTTATTTTTCAAATATAAATATTACATACACGCCATATCTACATGTATATATCCCAACATAAATATTTTGTTTTTGATACATTCCAATGCAACGTTGTTGGCAATTTGGGTCCAGTTGGGTTTTCGCCATGTTGCTCATAGTTTGCGCAACACAATTTTTTATCCACGCAGGTTATGTCGGAAACATATAAATTCAATTCACTGTTTTTTTTTGACTGGTTATGCTGTTCATTTTCCATGTACCTCATTGAACTTCTGCTCCACCATCGGACTGATGGGTTCCTGAAACAAATCAATGTTTTTTCATGCCATTCGCACCATCATTGACCGACTTCCGTTTTTTTCAACTCTAGAATATGTTTCATGTGAAAAGACCAAACCCTGTGATGTGGTGTTCTTCAACCGGTGGAAATCAATGACATGGATAATGAACCGATCTATTGACAGAACGGTCATGTTTTTGCGCAAAAAATGTGTTTCGACACAGTTTTCAGCGCATTTTTGTGCCTCGATTTTTTCCTGCAACTAGCGGCTCACCAGCCTAAGTAGCTGGTGCAAGTCATGACCCTGTCGCAATGACCAATGGTATTGAGGTTATAAATTATGAATCGGCAATAAACATGTGCAGTTGACTGAATCAATGGCCCCAATTTTTCATGTGTAAATAATCATTGGTTCAAATGATTGTGGAACCGAATGTGTGCCTGTAGTTCCCGACACCTCCCTTTTTGAAACGTTGAAAATTCCTCACGGAAAAAAAGAATTGGTATCATCAACAGATATGTGCGCTGAGTGCGTGTCAAATTCGGGAAAAAATGTTCACCAAACCCCATTCATTCCATCACTTGAATCTTTTGGGTGCTCCGACCCCATTCAGGATGCACACGCAGCAGAAGCGCCACGCGCGTCTTGCACCCAAATGGGCTGCAAGTTCAACGGCGAATAAACTGTGGATGTTTAATCATGTTCATGTCTTCACGTTTTTTGTCCAAATAAAACGGTGGTTTATTTAGTCAGTCAAACAAGTCAAGATGTCAAACCGAAAAGGAAGCAACCACACTAACATTTTGATTTGAATGAGTTCGATGTGTTAAAGAATACTTTTTGAAAAAACATTGTTTGAAATTGGTGGTATGCTGCGTCCATGGCCCAACTTGAAAAACATTGGCCTTGACAAATCCAACACGCCCAGATTTGTGTGCAAAGGGCCACACACAGATCCTGACACAACCAACTTTCAATTCCCACTGAAGAAATTATGATGAATGATTGGAATTTTTCCCTGATGCAAAAGTGTCTGCAAATACACTTCGTCAAGTTTCAATCTGGTGCAGCGGGTCTGACTCTTTTTTTTCCAACGCAGGGAACAACGAGGTGAACCTCTGGACGGTATGGTTAGGGTTTTTTTGACCTGGAGGACTCGTTTTAAACGATGTCCCGCCCACTCCACCACTTAAGCCAGGTTTCGACGAAGAGGAAGTAAACTGCACACGCAAATGACTTTGCTCAGATGCAACAGGACTGCTCGATTTTGTTCCAGAAGTTTCACCGTCAAGTTGCAATCTGGTGCAGCGGATCTGACTTTTTTTTTCCAACGCGGGGAGCAACGAGGTGAACCTCTTCCCCCTTCTTCATCTCGCTGCGAGCCGCTTGGACTTTGCACAGGATTTTTTTTTCCAAACACAGTGAAGTTTTGTCAGATTCATCTTTCGAGGCAGGCAAGAATGGATGCTGAAGAAAAATAGATGGTATGTCAGCAACGTTTGCCTCGGTAGGCACACGCGCAAACCAAACATTTGCATTGAATTTCACCTCAGTCTCAAGGTGTTGTCTCATGATTGCATGTGCTATCAGTCCCAAACCAGTTCCACGGATTAGCGCAAACCGCACGCTGTCGTTGTCCCCGTACAACACGGGGTATGCAGATGCCATTTGGTTGGCCCAGATGTCCATCGCCATGCAGCACGCTAGTACCTCTAGTCTCTAGTTCATATATTTTGGTCTCTTTGCAGTCGGCACCCAAAAGCTGACATGCGTCAGCTTCCAAGCGCAGTGAAAACCATGCACAACAGTTTCCATCGCAGTTCACTAGCACACCTCCTAGGCCTCCAACGCAAGCCTGGTTGTCATATGAAGACCGTAGTTGAGTCTACCCTGTTAGGTCCAGCGCAACGGAGTCCGTCCACCATGAGGCCCAAAGCAGCCGCCAGCTCATCATCCACGCTGTTTGTAAAGCTGTATGCATGGTCTACCAATCTCTTAAGCACCAGTGCACCAACACGCCCATGCAAGAAACCGTAAGCGAAACCCATGTTTTTTTTCATTTTAAGCGCCTCATGCCTATTCAGCGTTCTGTGTTGAATCACCTTTTGTCGCTTTTCAATGTTTCGCACCTCCAAAATGCCGTCCTTCGAGTCATGCAAGTCAAAAGCCACTCCAAGCGCCGCGCACAAGCTTGAAAATTCGGTTGTTTTCTTGCCATCTTTTGCGTATTCCCATCCAGCGAAAAGAAAAACAAACTCCAAACAACTCTTGGCCGAGTCTTGCAGTTGAGGACAGCTGGCAAGGATGAAGTCGTCATAGAAGTTGGTGGTCAGCAGCTTCGGCCCCCTACATGCCACGCAATGCAACATCTTGGCAAGTCTCAGAAAACTATATACGCTATGAGTTGCACCAAAAGGTAAGGTTCGGGATCTGTAAATTTCCACAGAACAAGTCGCATGATTGTAAATGCAAAAATAAGCATACTTCAGGTGGTCACTGCGCACCGGTATCTGACGGTACGCACTCTTCAAATCGTAGGTTTTGGCCAGAAGGCTGCAATCAGGCGAGCTTTGCATCATCTTTTCGAAGTACGCCTTGATCACTGCAACAAATGCATCAATCATGTGCAAATCCAGTTTTGTGTGTATGGTGCAACTGTCGTTCACGTCAGAAACACAATGAGATTGTTGCACCAGGCTCCATTTGATCTTGTCGCCAAGGGCCATCAGCCCAGCCCCTTGCAAGTTCGTCCCTAGTTTCACGCAGCACTGCTGCATCTAAGTCAAGTGAGCCTGAGTTCTTGGGCATGGACAGCACTAACGTGCTCCGCTTCGCCGCATTCTCTTTAAGCTGGGCCAAGGTGACAAGGCAGGTTTGTATGCTTTTTGAAATACCGAAGCACCATCTATTTCTCCAGCAAGTGGAAAGCCCTCATCCAATATTCTGAGAGCCTCTATGTCCTCATATTCCAAACTCTCCAAAATTTCTCTTGTGAGTTTCAATCTTTTCTTCAGAGTTGACAGGTGTCTCAACATCGCCACCTGCTTCTCTCCTCGGTCAAGCTCTGCGGCACGGTGGAGCCACCTTTTGCACCACGTGAGTCGGTACTCCAACATTTCTGAACACCAATGCAATACATGAAAGTTTATTGCATCCAACAAGTCATTAGGCACCAGTTTGCAAAAGTTAGCTGGATGCTTTGGCCATGAGCTGTTCATATGACCAAGGCAACCCAAACGCAACTTTGAAGCACTCATCGCCGGTCTGCAAGCCCCCCTTAGTAGAAAATGGTGATTGAGTGGCAGTTCGGCGCAGAAACCTTGAATGCTGTGGCACCTGTTCAGGTTCTCCTGTAGCAGTAAAAACATGCAAGGGCTTGTCCAACTTGTTCTGCAAAGAAAAAGGCACATCTGACGGCTGTTTAACATAGAAGACACCTACAGAAGACACATCTGAAATCAGTGGAGGCAGCTTGCTGCGCCCGGACTGTGAAAGCGCTGAGATTCGAGCTGCCTGCATCTCGAAAACCTTTTCATTCTTGACATCAAAAAGTGAATCTGGGAGCACCTGCATGTTCTGTCTCTGCAATTGCCTGATGATACATTGAACAAGTGACATGCAAAACTTCCAAGGGTACTGAGCCTCTAAATTTGTTGCCTAAACTTCCTTCCCTTCGTGATTCAAGGTTTCTCCACATGGCAAATGAGTGTGCAAGTTGTCGAACGTAACATCCATCTCAGATATTGCAGGAAGAGTGGCTGCCAGCTTTGTCCATTTTGGAAGAGATTCTCCCATCATACACATTTGAGTGTTGCAGAATGAAATCTCATGAGCATCAAGCAGCTGTTTATAGGGAACCGTTTCCCAGAATAAACTCCTGGATGGGTTTCTAAGGTCACCAAAATTCCCTGGGAAGCGCAGTGACCAAAAAGCCTGCAAGTTTCCCAATACATGGAATTTGCCAGCTCCACACGTTGCTTTTCTACAGCTGTAAGATCCGGCAGCCCCATTGGAAAGTCATCAGAGCCAAGTGCCCTGGGTCCACCATTCTTGATTTGCCGTGCCTTTGAACACGTTCCACACACTTGTGCCATGTGCACCCAAGCAAGGAGCGGTGACTCAAGCCAGTGGTACAACAAAGCTCGATCCGTTGGATTGAGGATGTCAAAGACGAAAATTGTAGAGTGTGCACCCCTCTTGCGCATTTTGCCAAGCGCAAGAGAGCCACTCATCCCGTATTGTTTTGCGACTGAACACAATGTTGCGGTCCCACTGTAAAGCTCAATCATGAAACACTGGTTGAGCAAGCTATTGGTCCAGTCTTTGAGACACCGTCAAGATGCCTTCTTTGGGTGACTGCTAAGCCCATGGGGCTGGAGGCATTTAGGTTCGGCGCACAAATGCCAACCTTTGGGACAACGCTTCCCATCACGGGCACCATCACAACCACCAAGATTGTAAGCAAAACTAAAAACATCTTTTGTAACCACAACGCCTGCGGAGTAAGCGCTCATTCACATCCATGCTTGTTGCATGACAGAACTCTTTGGCTAAACTGAGGTTTCAGTTTTGGAGTAGTTTTCAACTAGCAAACTGCCTATACAACCGGGCTGAGTCCAAAGTACAAAACTCTATACCCCGCCTTTGGCTAGTGAGTAGAGTTTACTCATTGACCCAAACTAGAGTCCATTCCTAAGGAAATAAACTTAGTTTCAACCATTCAAATCCAAGTGGACATCTGGTATGTCCCAAAGCAGTAGGGCCTTGGATTTACTGCAACCAAACAGCTTGTGGTTTCTATTGCTAAGGTCTATTGCGACCATTCCATGTGAAACGCCATCAAGGAGATCGCGTTAACTCCTTGCATAGCTTTTGAAGTCTTTCAGTTCTTTCAGCTCAGAGAGATCTCGTTAACTCTCTGCAGCTGCTCCTCATTTCAGTAATGAGGTTCATTTCTCTCATTTTCACCTTCTTGTTCCATATAGAAGCGAAAGTCGAGTGAA